TTTTTCAATTCACTTAATTCTCACTATCTCCAGGTATTTGGCTCCCGAGTATGCTTCAAGTGGAAAACTCACCGACAAGTCAGATGTTTTCTCTTTCGGTGTTATGCTTTTGGAGTTGATTACTGGACACAGACCAGTTGGATCTTCTTTCGTTGAGGACAGTTTGGTGGACTGGGTTAGTTATTAGTTTGGTCAATGATAGTCTCTGTGTACAAGCGCATGCACATGTGCATCTTTTCATTTTGGGATTTGAACTCCTTACAATCTTTAATTGAGTAAATCTGATTTGGCATTGCAGGCTAGACCTTTGCTTACAAGAGCTTTGGATGATGGAAACTTTGACAGTCTGGTTGATCCAAAGTTACAAAAGGAATATAACCACAATGAGATGGTTCGCATGGTTGCTTGTGCTGCTGCTTGTGTGCGACATTCAGCACGACGTCGACCACGAATGAGCCAGGTAATTGATGTAGTGAAATTTCTTTCAAATGCTATATTGATTTAATTCTAAATCTGCCATGTCTGGTTGATGTATATGGATCTGAAGATAGATTGATAAGATGATCGGATAAAATTTAATTGTGAGACTTGCATACCAGTTAATCATTCATAAGTGGATTACCATACGTTTCTTTAGACCATATAGTTACTTTTATGTTCCACGCATTATTAGACTCTGAACCTAAACTTGTAACCAAGCAGATAGTCCGTGCTTTAGAAGGAGATGCATCATTGTCTGATCTCAATGAAGGAATGAGACCTGGACAGAGCAATATTTACAGCTCTTATGGAAGCTCAGACTATGATACAAGCCAGTACAATGAAGACATGAAAAAGTTCAGGAGGATGGCATTGGGCACACAGGAATATGGTGCTAGTAGTGAGTACAGTGAGCCTACCAGCGAATATGGTTTGTACCCTTCTGGATCAAGCAACGAAGGGCAAACTACCCGTGAAATGGAGATGGGAAAGATGAAGAAAAACAGCCAAGGTTTTAGCTGAACTTTGACCTCTTGACAATACTATACCGCATTTCTTTGTAAAGACCCCATCCCCACTTCTTTTTCGTACTATGATTTGGAAGTCACATTGATTGCAAAGATTGGCATGTTTTTCATGAGATAACACACAAATTTTTATCACCCTAATTTTGAAATTATGGGTTTTCATTGATTTGTATTTATTAGTGATTCACACAGTAAATAATGGATACACTTTGCTTGATTCTTTTATTTGTTGTTTAAATGTTAATATCAATTTGGTTTGCTGAAACCGGACTTTCTCCTTTCGTTTGTTGTTGTGAATTGTTTCCCTGTCAATTTGCTTGGACTGAAATTTTAGTAGTTAGGTTGGATTCACATGTTATGTGGGTGACAATTTGACCTAGGTGGTTGTTTGCATATAAATCAAGTTTCCACCTAAGAGTGAATCAGGTGAGAAGCTGCACCTCGTGGGTCAAAATGTACACCAACTCAGAGCACCCTGCTTTGATTCATTGGTAATAAATCCATGTATTGAATGTAGCTCTTTTGGAACTTATTATAACCCCAGACAGATATCCAATATTTAGTTGTGCCCGCTTCTTTTGTGACATAGGAACAAAATGTAGGGCTTATTGTAATGTCACGCTCAGTCTACTAGAAACATGGGCTTAGATTCAGTTCAGGCTGTCATGTTCTTGTCTCACTTGTATAAACTTTGAACGTGAACTAAAGCCAGATAGAAATGAAGATCATGGCTGTGGACAGCAGGGGACATTTGAAAACTTAGGTGGGGCCTGGGGCTGGGCTGTGGGGGCCGGGCTACATTCGATTACATGCATGGCATGCCAATTGCCAAAGAAAGCAAAAATTCCTCTCCCTTGTCCAAAACGAGGTTACAGTCAAACCCGCATTAGAAAATCAAGGAAGATGACAAAAGTGGCCAGCTAATCTTGGGCTGTTGTCCTCCCTGTCTTCAGACCGTTGGAGTGCCACCAACTAACTTTACCAAGTCAAGATGGCCAAGACAGCTCAAAATGACTCAACTATCCTCGTTTTCTCACTCGTAAGCATTCTGTCATGTTTTCCACGTTAGTTGATCATTTACATTTGGCGGTGCCTCCCTAAGATTGCAGCCCAAATTCTTTTTCTTGTAGCATATTCCAAACTAATTGTCACAGCACCAGTGGATACATATCACAAAAATAAAATAAAAAAAATCCGATCTAATTAACTACGAAAGAAAATAATGAGGAAATCAAAAGGTTATTGCAAGTGTTCTTTTAAAAAACTCGGGTCCAATCCCAATTCTCTCAAAATAAAAGAAAATCAACAAATTAAAAATGAAAAAAATGGTATAAAATAGCTAAGGAACAATTTTCCTCCATAATATACAAGTTCTATGCAATTGTAAGTCATTTAACATATATTGATATACATAATATATATATATATAAAGATGTTCAAAAAAATTATTATTAACAAAAATGATCATATATATTTGTTACATTTTTAAATAGTCATTTAAATATTTTTATTGTTAAATATATTAGACTTTTAATTATATTGAATAAATTTCATTATAATCAATTCATACATAAAAATTTTAATTAAATTAAATAACTTTCAATATAAAATATTTTCTTAATTTTAATAAAATTAAATAATTGATAGATTAATATTATAAACATTCAGCTATATATAATTAAAATATTAATTGTTTACTATAGATAATTATATTTTATATGTTAATTATAATTATTATTTAAAAATATTTACAACCGACGCGATAATAAAATCTAGTTTGAACTTTCTGAGCCCAAGCCCAAGCCCATTACCTAACCCAGTCCAATTTTATTTGGTCTCGGTTGAAATTTGAGGGAAACAGGGGGTACTTTCGGAATAAAAAAAAACTTGAAAGGCACACGCGTTGGTATTGGTTAAGACAGGTAGTTATTTGTTTCCCCCAACGGTTCTGTTCTGTACACTACTTTTTCTGTCGCTTATTTCGAATTAATTAATTAATTTTCATTTCTGAAACCCAACGGAAGGGAAAAATAAAAAGACAAAATTGATCTCATTTTCCAGGAAAAGATCCTAAAAAAAAAAAACCCTAATTTTCACAAAAAACTCCAGAAGCTTTGAATCAAAAATGGCTTCTCGAAGACGCATGCTACTCAAGGTCATAATCCTTGGTGACAGCGGGTAACTTTTTCTTTACTTTTCAATTTTTTAAACCAGCTTTGTCATTGTTAAGATGTTTCTAATTTCTCTCGCTTTTTTTTTTTTGGGGACAGGGTTGGAAAGACATCTTTGATGAATCAGTATCCTAATTCAGTCTTTGTATTTTGATAAATAAATAGTAATTGCAATGTTTAATTAGCCTTAGACTCAGAATTTCAGATATGTTAACCGCAAGTTCAGTAATCAGTACAAAGCGACCATTGGAGCTGATTTTTTGACGAAAGAGGTCCAATTTGAAGATAGGATTTTCACGTTGCAGGTTGGAAATTAATTTCTCATTGATCATATAGTGTTTGTGTTAATTGATTATAATTGTCTTAAATTATTTGCACATTTTGCCGTTAATTTTAACTGTTAGTAATGAGCTCACATCCCGTGATGCATGACTTTAATAGAATTTTAATTTTAGATATGATTACGCTAAACATTTGGAGCAGCTGGAATGTTTCTGTCAAAATAATGTCATTTGTCTGAAACCACTTGGTTCCAGTCTTGTTTTGCCTGATTTAAACACTTGAGACTGTGACTGAAATGCCGTTTTTGGACTGCTTTGTTAGATATGGGATACAGCAGGGCAGGAAAGATTTCAAAGTCTAGGTGTGGCATTTTATCGTGGTGCAGACTGTTGCGTGCTAGTTTATGATGTAAATGTCATGAAATCATTTGATCACCTCAACAACTGGAGGGAGGAGTTCCTGATCCAGGTAATGATTTTGACCCTTTAGCATTCCTTGATCCCTGGTCCCTTTGTATCACTGACTCAGTCTTTTCCTAATGGGATCTTATCCAGGCTAGCCCTTCAGATCCTGAGAATTTTCCATTTGTCGTATTGGGGAACAAGGTCGATGTTGATGGTGGTAATAGTCGAGTGGTATGATACATATTCCTCATCTCAACATGTTTGATCTCTTTAAACTAATACAAGATGTTATCCCTTGTCATGATGAGCAATTACCTACTTGTGATTGTACAATATATAGTCTATAGTATTGCCCTTTTCTTTTCTTAATTTTTCATATCTATTAATCTGAAAATCGGGAAGTGCAAATAATTTATCGGGTTGTTCTAGTGTAACTCTTGCATGGCATTGCTCTGTAAAGTAGATTCTCTCCACTATTTCTTCACATCATAATGATCAAATACCCAAGACAGAGGAATTCTTAGTAATTTTTCTATGAATGCTCTAGTTTTCTTTTTCCCACTACTAATCACGAATGTGTAACATTGGCCCCTCATTGCCCTTTTTTAAGGTGTCTGAGAAGAAAGCAAAGGCATGGTGTGCCTCCAAAGGTAACATTCCTTATTTTGAAACATCTGCAAAAGAAGGTTTCAATGTGGAAGCTGCCTTCCAGTGTATAGCCAAAAATGCTCTCAAAAATGAACCTGAAGATGAGATGTGAGTATTTTTTTAAGATTCTCTTTCTTGGTTTGAGAGTTATTCATCTACCATGTATTGAGTTTTGTCATCGATTACTATCTACAGTGTTATATCAAAGTTGGATTATGTTGTTGAAGTTGACACATTTTATCATCATTATACTCTTCTCCCTTAAATCTCCTATTTTATGTATTTCGGCCTGAATGCTGCCCATAATTATACTGTATTGATAAGTTCAAGACTTATTGTATCTTTGGCAAAAAAAGAAAAACCAGGACTTATTTTATCTGGTCTGAACATCTTCCATTTATTGAATGACTGTTATTTTGGCTCAAGGCTACTATGTGCTTCTTTTGTTTCTTTTGAAATTTACTTTTTCAATGATGGCTGGGGTGTTGTCATGAGTTATTAGAGATCACTTTCCTTTTTCGTTAGGAGGGTGGGGGTTTTGGGAAAAAGTTTAGGTTATCATGTCAATTGCTGGCCCTTTTGTTTCTGCGAAATTGTATCAGAAATCCTTTTACCTTTTTAATTCATTTAAGCTTTGTTGGTTTCTGTTCTTACAATGGCAAGTTCCTGTGTCTGATTGCACACATACTAACATAATTAGTTAATTCATTTAACATATTTTTGATGAAGTTATCTCCCGGACACCATCGATGTGGGTGGAGGACAGCAGCAAAGATCTTCAGGTTGCGAATGCTAAGAAAACAGCAACTTCTCAAATGTTACTTTACACGCTAAGGTTACTCAACTTCTTTGTATATTACCTTAGCTCAGAGGGAATTACTTTATTAATTTATTATTTAGGGTAGGATGTTTTCTTTTTAGTTCCATTTGTTGTTTCAGCATTTATCGTATGCCACTCTTTAAGAATCCAATTGTTTATATTTTGACGTTTCTAAGTTTGATCATTCTTTTCATCGTTGATAATAATGATATGGTTGATAACTAGGAAAACTGGCATGGCCGGAAATAACATTACGTTTTTTAGTGTGGATAACTGGAAGTAAAGGTACGACTAACATGAACATGAACTTCATAATAGCTAAATGAAGCAAAATAAAAGGGCTAAAAGGATACGATACAATAAGAGAAAAGTAAGGCAAATGAGACAAGACCTGATGGCAGTTGCAAATCATAGAGAGAAATAAGAATGACAGACCAATATCATCTTTTTCTTCGTTCTCCCGTATAAGTTAAGTTAAAAATATGAATAAAAAAGATGCACAAATCTCTTAATTGGATATGTGTAGGAAAAATCCCCATCTTTGGCTCACCCCTCAAAAATTGATATAGTAATTGACGGCAACACAAAAGAATTGTAGCAATGTAGAAGTGAGGCCCATCAACTTGGATATGAACACGAATTTTCGTATTTGCTATGCTATGACTTCGCTGTTCGAAACTTCAAACTGTTGGGCAAATCCCCCTATATCCCTCTAGGTCCATGATCTCGTTACTATGTAAATTTGTGTCATTACAAGCATATGAACCAAGAAATTTGCTGCTAATCTACATATGTGGACCCAAAATTTAACTCGTGTGGTGATGCTGCTGTCAAAACTTTCAAATGTGCAACAGTACAGGAGTAAAATTGCGAAAAG